TTTGTCAACAATATATCTGACAGCGATGCTGGAAATGAGAAGAATAAATTCAGTTGACAGTCAAGCGACTTGCGCTCGACGAGCGTTACTCGCATACAGTGAAATGTGATCAGTTAGAAATAAATAAATATTGATTTTCTGTCATCGTGTGTGGCCTATATTATTCTCATTCTGCTCCGTAAGATATCATATTTCTCTATAGACACAAGCAACAAAGTATACGATTACAATATTGGTTTAGGTAATTTATCAAAATAAAGATGATTTATAGTTGAAACGAAAAATCTGGATGCATCTACTTAATGTATTCTGCTTTGTTGTACTAATTTTATTCACTACGATTTACATGTTCTTCTGCTCTAGTCTCGATCACTACACATATGATATATGAGATTTTCATTCAAAAACCCATTCTTTTCTATATATTTCTAGCATCTTGAGGGTGTGGGTGGGTGTTGGTGTGCATAAAAGATTATAAGACACTAGTTACCCACACCCACACCCAACCAATAATGGGTGATTATATTCTACCACAATTAACAACAATAATTACAGATGCATTACCACAACGAACAACCTCAGATGGTGATGATACACAACCATTTGTTGTTAATCCAGATAATAATAATAATAATCAACCACATCAACAACAACAATCAACAACGCCGACATCAGGTTATAGACGTCGTCAACGTCGTAATCGACAACAGCAATATCGTCAACAAAATAATAATAATAATAATAATCGATTTACTGCACTTGCTAATCACGATGATGATGATGGTAACAATAATAATGACCATGGTGATAACAACAATAATAATAATGATAAAACTAATAAATCAAAAAATAAACAACAAAAAAAGAAGAAATCGTATTTTTATCTTTCACATGATCAACTTTGGAAACATGTCGATAAAGATCGAACAAGTGAATTTTATAAACTATTACAAGATAATCGAACTTATGACATTACAAAGAATTATCTACTCGATGCTGCTCCTGTCTATGATGAATGGTTAAGAACAGCCCATGAATTTAGATTATGGAATGCCTATAGACAACTAGGTGAAAATGATGATTTTTGGGCCCAAGAAATTATTAATCGTATGCGCTCACGACCAGATAAAGTTGAAATTAAACCTTTTGTTGACAAGAAAATTAACTCTTTTCAATTAAAACTCGACGATTATTCAAAAATAATTAATAATTTACAAGTTAAATTCACTGAATATTGGTCACAAGTAGCATTACGTCGTAAACAGACACAAACTTCTGCAATGGCTACAAGAGAAAGTACTACAGCACGTCCTTCTTCTTCATTTGATGTTGATAGAATGGAAAAGGAATTATTCGATTATATTCATAATCATACAAAACATGTTAAGAAGAATTGTGATTCACGTCTTGAAATTGCCAATGCCGAAAAAGAAGAATATGAAGCTTATAACAATTTTAAGAATATGGCAGAAAAGAAGCCAATATGGAATTTTCATTTACTTTTAAAATGAAAATTAACCAATTGGGATAACAAAAATAAAAATTTCCATAATATACAAAAACGTATAGACTATAATTTACTTCCAAAATTTATTGAAAAACATGATTTTTCATTTAAACTTGATTCAAAAGTTTTTGAACAAGATGAAATTCAACCAATATATGACGGAATGCGTGAAATTACAAATTCCTTGAATAACCAATCTATGGAATTTTATTATAAAATAGCAGCTCGTGAATTGAATAATGTTAGAAATGAAATTGATATTATTATAGAAAGTTGTTGACCTAGACCATCATCAGCATTGAATCTTACTGTAAATGATGCACAAGAAGATGCACAAGTAGATCAAGAAAGTGATGATGATAATAGTAATAAAGAAGATAAACAAAATTTTGAAGCATTTCAACTCTATTACAGTGCTGCCACCTTCTGAAGCCCGAAAAGCAGAAAAAAGTTTATAAAAAGCAGAAAATGACAGAAATTTCGTCATCAAAAAGCAGAAGAAAAAGCAGAAACGATGTTTCTTACGTAAATCTACTATAAAGCTTACATTCAACATAATAATTAAAAATTACGGATAAACTGTGTTTCGTACCACCCTCCCACAACATTTGGCAACACGTCCGACTATTCGTAAAAGAAATGGGTTTTTAAAGGCTTCGTATAGGTATTCGGAAGTAACGAATGTTTGAAAATTTTTGATTTCTTTTATGACTATTGTTCGGAAACTTTTTTCTGTAGAAGATCGTAAAAGAAGAAGTAGTAGGTGTTTAACGGATTAACTAGATGTTCAATAAAGACAGAATGTCTAGAGTGCGACTGATTTAATCGTATAGATCATAACGTTCAAGCTTGCATTTAGTCTAACGATATAAACTGATGTTGACAGACGGCTCATGAATGAATTTAACAGGGGATCGTTACGAACATAATGATTTCTCGTACGTTTTTTTATCAATAAGGATAAGATTGATTTACTCTTAGAAAAACCATATTTTTAAACAACTGCTCATTCATTCTTGTTCGTCGCGCCGTTAAAATTAAACCCACATTCGAAAATGCTCTTTCGATCGGTGCAGACGAAGCTTGTACAGAGAAAATTCGAAAAACAAGCTTTTTTAATAAATTTAATTGAGAATATGAGCAGTACACTGAGAAATTTGATTTAACAGAATCATTTAAATGTTATTTAAGATTATGTTAACATCGAATTATACTCAAAAATAAAAGTACGTAGAATATGTACTTTTTACTAGTAATTAAGTGAAAAGTTACTAAGCAAAGTACAAAGTAAATGAAAGTAGTACAAAGGACTTATACTTGTACTTGGTGTACTTGTACTCGTCCTATTTCTGCTCCCATTTGAGCGAATATTTTATTTATAGATATAGTTCATCTTATAGACAAAATTCCTAATAGGTCTCCTCATGAAACTTTATTATTGTTGAGATTTTGTGATTTTGAAATATAAATAAATCTCATTCCAGCAGTTGCCATTACGGATATCGAGAAAACTTATTCTCCGATTTCGATTGGAAGCTTTGTTTCGATGAATGTGTCTATGAGATTAGTTTTGAAAACTGCAGACACATTACTTGTTGTGATATAAGCATATGACTATGAAACATATAATATCCTCTGATGCCACTTACACATGACAGTGTTCGTACTATTATTTCCTCGATTGCAAAGAGGGTGATGTGCAAAGAAATAGTTTGTGCATGCGTTTGTGTCAGGCCAAAGGTTGCAAGACTTGTATATGAATAAACAATCACATGTTTCTACAATTACATATCGATCAATTACTTTAAATGGAAAACAACAGGAAATGACAGGAAAATTCAGACATTTGATATGTTTGATTGATTTGTTTTTCACCCAATCAAATTGTTGGAACTTCGAATCGGGTTTGAATCTTGATACAAACACAGAGTAAAACCCATAGAGTGAAACTACTACTGTATTTACATATTGAAGCTATGTGCGCCTCAGTTTATCATCTTTTTTGTTTCATTTTTTTCAGATTACCATCAGCAAGCTTATAATTCCCTCGACTATCAGAAGAAACATACTAAATAAAATAGTTCATTTGAGTAATTATGTCAGGTCAAAGGTGAAAGGTCAAACGTTGGAAAACCATGGCAACCATACTATTACTTAGAGCATACGGAAAGCTCTGACGATAGTTAAAAGATCCTGTCAGATACGAATACCTATTCGAAATTGAGACACCAAATATACCATTTTGTAGAGCAAGTCGAGGTGCATCGAATGGCACATATCAAATCTAATTTCCATCAGATTTTAGTGGAATTTGAGCCAATTCGCTAGTAATAGTCATGCACCCAAAAACTTATAGAGCATATAAAACAATCGTAGCTCATTGAAAATCGTATTTTTTCTATGAGAGATAGAACGGTCGGAAATACCAAGTATATCAACTTATAGCCCGTGAAAAACTCTGCAAAACTGTATATAAAAATACTTTTCAATGATACCCAGAGCCATAATGCTTAACAACTGATGGTACTTTTGGGTACATGATCATCTGCTAGTAGATTAACTCTAGTTCTACTAAAGTCTTATGAAAATCAGATTTAATATATACTATTCGACGCGTCTCGACTTGCTCTACAAAATGGTATACTTTGTTTGTCGATTTCGAGTAGTTCTTCTTATTCGGCAGAGCACTTGAAACGTCGTGGCCAGGACTTTTGGTATGCCCTAAGTACAATACACTTGGGTCCTCATGCCTCATACTAAAGAGGTAGTTTTAGATCTTCATATCCTATAATAAAGGGCTACCTTTGGGTCATCATACCGTATACTAGGGGAATATCCTTACCTATTAATGTGCTTTATTATTAGGTCATTTCTGGATTCAGATATTCTCTCTTCTGAAATTAGGATTGTATAGATAAAACTGTTTTTATGTTTGTCTGCGGAATGCTCAAGGACCAAAGGGCAAACAATATTAGATACTTTATCATTCGATTTTTGCATAATACATCTGAGAGAGAAACTAATCTTTAAGATAGTAGGAATTCCAGAAACTGAGAAACGAGCTACACGGTCAGATATGTGTGAGAACGACTGGCTGCTCTGTGTAATGTTCCGCGTGTAATTTTGTTTGAATGCTGATTAGATTCTTGTCCAAAGTTTGTGCTACTGTTCGTGTTACTGTTTAATACTGATTTATGTATACAACAAATCAACAGAATATATCGTATTCAGGTGCGCTCTCTGTTTATACTCCATGTACTATAAACACAGAAGTCTGCTACTAAGAATCACTATTTTGTAATTGTTTGCTAGAAGTATTATCATACTACAATGAATGTGGAAACTTCGGATTTTATCCGAAAGTTGAGTGTACTTCAAAAAGTGTTTGAGGCCTATGAAGAAGTGTCGTGGAAGTACAGGGAGGTACGAAGAAGTAATGAAGTATCGAAGTCTCGCTTTTTGTGTACTCAAAAAGTGAGTACACTACTAAAATAGGTCAGTGTGTCCGTCCGTTTACACAATAACTCCTAAAAAATGTGAGCGATTGACGAAAAGTTTTTTTGCTCAGCATTGTCTCATCAATATCTCGGTCGAGAAACGGGTGAGATATTGTAAAAATACTGAAAAGTCATCAGGTCATCCCTGAGGGGGACTACAGCAATTTGGAAAAAAACATTTTTTCTCTATCATCTATATTCGTATAGTCAGTTGTATCAGGGTGATTAGGTCTCCATAACCTATACTATGGGTGTACCCTTAGGTCCTAATGTCATACATAATCGACTATGTTCGTAGTTTTTGATGAAACTAATAAATATTATAATGTTGTGGCATTCGAAGGGACAAAAATTATATTATTAGTAAGTGGTGGTATTGTTGATGGTTTATTCACACATTTATTTATGTAAAGTTTT